GCCAGTTTCAGGTTTGAACCCGAAATTTACACGAAATTGAATTCCGGGTCAATTTCGGGTCACATGGGTCCAACCCGAAAACAACCCGTTTTGTTTGTGTCAATTTCGAGTCAACCCGATTCTAACCTGCACCCCAATTTCCTCAACCCTAACTTGTAATTTTCGTGTTAATTTCGATTCGTGTTGTCGTGTCGTGACCTGTATTACCGCCCCTAACGTAGACGTGTGTGTGGGCACACTCGAGACTAAAACAGGTTAGATCAAACACTCAAATTTTCCACAAACACCAACGCATGCACAATGTGGAATTTTTTGTGAGATAATTTTTCCTTCTCTCTCTCTAGTGATTTTCGGCCAGCCACCAAAAACTAGGTTTAAAAAATTGTCACGCGCAATTTTTCATCATCTCTTATTTATAGAGTAGAAGTCCAACTTCTAGAAGGAATCAAAACTCTCTCTCCTATTTGAATCTTGAACAAAAATTCTCCTCTACCTTATCTCTATGTGGCCGGCCATGCTAGGGTTTTGAATCCCTGTGTGTGGCGCCAATCTCAGATAGGGAAGGAAGAGAAAATCATCATTTATCTTGTAGTCCAATTTTAATTCCAATTCAAATTCGAATTTAAGTCAAACTTAAATTAATTTGAATTCTAAACTGAACAACTTATCAAATAAGTTTAAAATGATAAATTTAAATTATGTTTATGATTCAAATTCAAATTTAAATAATCACATTATTTAAATAATAATTAATTCTCAATTAATTATTTTTCGAGTATTTAATTTTAGAATTCCGTAATTCTAAAATTCTCATTTTGCCCTTTGTGTCTGGAAGAATTACAAGGACGATGCGGGGACTAATGGACTTATAATCCCGAGCTCCAATAAAATTAATAATTAATTAAACACTTTAATTAATTAATTAATTCTATTAATTTCAATAGTTACTCCATTATAAACTTGGAATTGAACTCTCAAAATTATAGACATTAATTACTTTTAAATTGTGAAGTGTCCATTTGATATAGTCATTGCATATAGATCAATTCTCCATAAATAATTCATAATTAGAGCCAGGTAGAATCCGGTAGCCTTTCTAATTATATCTTCATCCTTGAGTACCATTGATTCTCTAATGGATAATGATTCATAAAACACATTCATGAATCAAAGCGCTCTTACTAATCCAAGTACCGAATCAACACTCAAGAGAATTATTTATCTACTTCTTTCTCAAGAAGGAATGGATTCCATCTCGTATAATAACATTCCTGGCTACCTATTTCATTATGTCTCTAAAATACAAGGAATAGGATTCAGGGTCTCGGAATCCGTACCGAGTAAATCAAAAGACATAAATTCATAAATAGGAGTTTGTTAAAAATTCAGGATTAAGATCATTATATATGACCATCGGTAAACTCAATTAGAATTTCTATGCTTAACGGAAATTATTAGAAATTCATATTGTGTCTGTGTCCCTGTTCCACACAATCTCATTATGCGAAATACACTCATTCAGTATCTCACCATATTAACTGTGCGGATAGCACCGTTCCATTCTAAATGGGAATGACATGTGTTAATAATGTTTTAATTAAAGATTTTGAACTTTAATTAAATTCATTATGAACAACGTTTTTTATTATTATCCTTAAACATTATCCTTTCGTATATAACACTTATATACAGTGTTTAAGGTTACATAAATAATCACGAAATTTTCATTTGATATTCATAAAATATTCATAAATATATGCACATAAAATGATGAATAAACTATTTTATTAATTAAATAATAAATATCCTATTACATCTCATACTTCTAGGACACTATTCCCAACATCCAACTCTAAGATATAGTTAATTAAAGATTAAGAAAAAAAAGGAAAGTTAACAGATAAAGATTAAAATGGTACAAAATTTAAAAACATTTGAATTCGAGTTTTACAAAAATTGAAAGTTTGAGACAAAATAAGAAATTTTAAAAGGGTTATAGACTTATGGCTATCTTCTAAATAATAATAATAATAATAATAATAATCCCTAAGTGCTTATCGGCACCAATTTCTAGTAACCGACAATATTACTAGCGATACAATATGATTTACTAATGACTTTTCAAAATAGGATTAGATTGAGAATTTCTATAAAAACACTAGGTACGGGCCCAATATCGGTATAAGGCCGCAACTTTTCAAGTATAAGTTTGGCACGCTAGTGTAATGAAATGTTATGGACATGTTACAGAATAGTGGGCCTTAATACCATCTAGGGCTCAATCTAAGAAATAACATGAAACGGTAACTTAAACAAAATCCATGGCTTAGACAACTAATTAAGAGATTAAATTATCAACCTAAGACCGAATAACAAAGGCAATTAAGGAAATGTAAATTATAAGGATTTATTAAAATAGTCATTGTAATTTTGAAAGAAGTTAAATGATCATTAAAAAGGAAATATTTTATAAGTATATGAATAAATTCCTAAATAGACTAAGCTAAATAGACTAGCTTATACTAAGTCAAACTCATACTCTTAGTGAGTTTTCTTTACAGAACACAACAATGAAGGTTAACCTCGGCGAGGAATATAGTCCCGACCTTAACTGATTGCAGGTAAGTGAGAATCTCGCCTACAACATGAATAAGTTTGAAATCAAAAGATTATACATGTTTTATGTACATGTTATGCTTAAAGTTATAGTAAGCTTTGCATTGACATATCGCATCTTCACTATTAAGATCTAAATGACTATAAGAACATTTAAGAGTGTCGTACCAACCTCTCAACCTACGGGGAGGATTTATGGCCTGGGGATGCAAACATTCAGTACCTGAGGAGGTAAAATAGGATCACAGTATAGTTGAGGACCTTGCAAACCCTCTCTACCCGTTGATCATGCGCACATCTCGGTACGTACACTCAGGCCCAAAGGAATAATAATAAAACAAGTTCATAAAAGAGCATAATTGGTACATACATTACTGATATACTTTATGCACTCTGTTTTGATTAGCGAGACTTAGTTCCTACTTACTGAGTATAAACTCACCCGCAGGATGTATTTATGTTGTAGAAAAATAACTAATCAAAGGTGAATAATAGACTGTGTGCAACAACATGCGAGCAGTGTGGAGAATGGAAAATGGATACCGCTCGCATTTTAATTCCGTAATATGTTTTGTTATGATAAGACTTTTAAATTGTATATATGCAGTTTGGTTTTAAGAAGACTGAGACTTCTTACATAATTTAAAAAAAAACAATTGTAAAATTTCAAGCGATTACATGTTGGTGAGTTTTAATAGACGCCTTTTTAGATCGGGTCGTTACAAATTGTGACGTGATCAATTAATTAATTGAGTTAATCAGTGATTAATTATATTATGAGATCAATTTTATCTTTTTATCTTTAAGGGGACGTTTGGTATGCATTAATCTTGAGGATGAGAATAGAAATATGTAAGATTACCATATTTAGTACAGAAACTCTAATTTTTAGATTCCTAAAGAAAGTGAATACCACCTAATAGAGTGATATTCATAAGCCTGAAAATCAACTAAACGTGACAATCTCACCAAAAGCTAAAAGCCACCATCATCACAGCCAGACCACAACAAAAATGGTCACAGCCACCAACGACTAGCCTCGCCCCGTGCGAATCGTCGTCAGTCAGCCTAACCATCGTCAGCCTTCGTCACGAAACCAACACCTCGCCGACCTCCGTTGTGAAACCAACTCCTACCCGGCCTCTTTCGCGAAACCCAACACCTCGCCGGCCTCCTTCGGGAGAAACACAACACATCGCCAGCCTCTGTTGCGAGAAACCCCCTAGCATCGCACACCGCCCCCTCGGTCTTAGGGCCCCCTTTCGTCGCTCGCCGCTGTCCACCCACCCCCAAATTGAGAGAGAAATAGAGAGACATATTGAGATTTAGAGGAGATTTAAGAGAGAGTGTCGGATCGGAAGAGAGAAAGATCATTAGGGACTCATTTTTTTTTTTTTGTAATTTTCATTTCATAATCAACTTTTATATTAATTTTAAAATTACCGAGTATTCGTTTTTTAACAATTTATTTTTTTCATTTATAAATCTTTTTTTTTGAAGTTTCATTAATTTTAAATTATTAAGAGAATTAATTTTTTAAAAATGTTATTTTTTCCTTATACCTTTTTTGAAAAAAAAAATCTAAAAGCGTAAAAATTATATTCTTCCAATTTTATAAAATTTAATAAATTTAAAGTATTCAAATTTATTGTTTTTATAAGAAGAATTATATTATATTATTAAGCACAACTAAACACAGTAAAATAATATTTCTAATATCATTTAAAATTTTTATGGGTATCTAAATGTGATTATGCATATTTTTTTTGGAATTATATTACCTTTAATTACTTTTTTCAGACTTTCTCAGAAGTAATGTTTTTGAATAGCCAGTGAAGTGTTGGCCGTATTTAAAATTGATCCCATTTTTATTTTTTACGTTTTTCAAGAAAGAAAAAATGAAAACGTTTTTAAAACGGCGTTTGGTGCAATAAAGATAAAAAAAGAAAATAAAAATGATTTTTTGGTTTAGTGTAAAATAAGAGAGAAATGAAAAATGACTTTTAGTTATTTTTTATTTTTTGTTTTCGTTTTCTCCTTTCTCGAGCAGAGAGAAATAGACATAGACGTTAATAGGTTTTTTATATTAAAAATAATCTCTTGATAAAATCACCAAACACATTTTTAAAAATAATTATGTCTGAGATTGAAAATATTTTTATTTTTATTTTTATACAAAAAATAAAATTATTTTGAAACGAGTTCTAAACGCACCCATTATTTGTCAAAATCACCCCAGAAACGTAGTAGCAATAACATGTCTTTGCACACGTGTAACGACATTGAGTTTCGGTCTTCACCGAACAAACAAACATAAAATGAGAATAGGAATATGAAAGAATCACAATAAAACAAAACAAAATCAAATCGTAAGAAACACCATCGCCGTTTGATTGTGAGGAAAGCTAAAGCCTAGGTAGATATTTACCTACCACCCTTTCCTTCGTCTTTTTTCTATCGACTTCTCCGTCATTCTCTTTCTCTCTCCACGTATCTTTGAAAATCCATTCGTGGGCAATCTCGTTTCGGATATGGCAGGTAAAGTTTTTGAACTAGTTCTTGTCTCTTTAATTCGTCATTTTATTTTATTTATTTATTTATTTATTTTGACTCCCCGCAGTATAGTTTCAAGCTATGGGGCTAATCAAGATATTTCGTTCTCATTTTACTGTGAAAAAAGTTTTATCTTTCCAGATATTTATTTGGGTTGAGAGTAAATTCAAGTTTGTTACTTTATTTAACTCTTGTATTAGTGATTTTGTTTTCTCTTTTAATATTTTTGGCAAGAATTTGTTGTGTGATAGTGTTTGACTAGAAATACTGTCAATTAATGAAAATGGGATTGGATTGGTTTGTGCCATGGATAGCTAGCTAGCTAGTTGCATATAAGTAAAATCTCCCATTCAATGAAGTTTGGTTGTCGTTTGTTGTTGATGTCTTACATTTTGTGGGTTTGTATAAATTGGCTCTCTGAATTTTGAGCACAGTGACATGTTGAAAGCACAAAGACTATTTTGTCAAACTGAAAAGTTCAGGAATCAAAATGTCACTAGGCTCAAACTTCAGGGACTAATAGTGCCAATAACCCTTTTCTATTGGGGTTGGGGATTGGTGCATTGCATAAGTCTAGTCTTGTTCTGGGATTTATGTGTTTTCATGTGCTGCAACATTCTTCCTAGGCTATATAGCTTATTAAGGTATTTTTTGCCTTTGTTATTTAAATTTTTTTTTTTTCGGCTAACGAAAGAAATTATAATCATATTGGATTAGTCTTTAATATGATAACTGGTTGTAACCAAGAATGATTCTTCTCCGTGTAAAAATAAAATATAAATGACTTATCAGGCAGAGTTCGCTAATGAGTATCGAATGAAAACTATGTGGACTTTGTCAATTTTATTGTCTAACATAGTGGAAAGTTAAAAATTTTAATGTTTCTAGGTAGACTGATGATAAGAAGATAATCAATTTATTGATTAAGCTTTCTTATGCAGCAATGTCAGGGAAGATTGTCCAAAATGTTTTTGTGTCACAATGGTACCAACAAAATAGACAGTCCGGCACTCAATTTCGGGGGGACCATTTTTCCCCTAATACGCGCAACTTGCTTCCCTTTCATGGGGGGAAGTTAGCATGGACTTCCATCTCTTCCATGCAATTGCGCATGTTATCAAAATACCAGAGTGGTTTTGCTAACCGGAGAACTGTTCATTGCAATGGTCTGTTCTAGACTCTCGCTATCCAATTCCAGGTTGATATCAAATGTAGAACTAATATTTAAAACATCCTATAAATACATCTTTGATCTATCGACGCCAGCTTGTATAAATTTTCCTTGCTTTCTGGTTGGTGTCTATGTTTTCATTCACTTTTTTGGATGGTCTAGGTTCCAAAGGAATTGGCTCTCTTTCTCTGTTCTTTAATGTTTACATTTTTGCTGCTTGACTTGTGTATTTCTATTTTTTTTAAAATGTCCAGCTGCTCCATCTGCTACTGCATTACCATCACTTGACAAAGTTGATTTTCTGAAGCTTCAAAATGGCAGGTATTGGCTGAATTTTCCCATGAAATCTTGTGAAAATTAAAACTTTTTTGTGCGTGACAGTTGTTTATTGCACATTAATTTATTTCTCTGTCTTATTTATTGAAGAGATGCTTTGTTTTATGTGGAAAATAGTTGTAACTCTAAAGTCTGACAATTACCCTGTCATGATCAGTCTGTCCCAACCAATGCTCTAACTTTTGATCTTTCTTAATATAAGAGATTACTATCTCTATTATGATTTTTCTTTTTCTTTTTGTTTTTTGCCACTCTTATAATCACATAATGTGCATCTTTGCTCTGATTCTTATGTAGTGATATTCGAGGTGTCGCTATTGCTGGTGTTGAGGGAGAACCAGTCAATCTCACTGAACCAGTTGCTGAAGCAATAGCTGCTGCCTTTGCTGCATGGTTAGTGGAAAAGAAGAAAGCAGATGGCTCTCGACGTTTAAGAGTTTCGGTTGGCCATGACTCTCGTATATCTGCGCAAACCTTACAGGTATTTTTCCTTGGAAGTGTCAGTGGCTTAATGTTCACAAATATTTCACTACCCTTTTAGTATTTTTTTTTTCCTTGGAATGTTTACAAATATGCCAATAACATTTCTTATGGTGTTTAATATTTTCTTCCATCTTTCCTTTAGTATTCCCTGAGTAAATTTTCTAAGAGAATTACTTAAACTCCTAAGAGATATGACATTTGTATATTATAGATAGGAAATGTTCAAATAACAACTTAAGTAAGAACTATGTCAGCATAAGAATTTTTTTCTTTCAGTCATTATGGGTAATTTTCTGTCTTAAGTTTTGATAGTAGGAAGATGCCTATGGAATTTGAACGTTTTCTTCAATTACTAAAGGTTTAATTATCCAACTTCCAGGATGCAATTTCACAAGGAATCTCTGGAGCTGGCCTGGATGTTGTTCAATATGGGTGAGCAATCACTGTAATCAATATTAATCTTCTTGCTGGTAGACACATATAGGAGATCCTAAGGTCAAAGGCTTGGAACGGATCATTTTTAAGCATGATGGACTTGTGCATAACTCGGTGAAGTTTGAGTCGCTTTGGATTTTAAGTGCTCATATTTTCTAGCTTTATGATCCAAAGTGGCAATTTGAAGGCCGTTGATAGTGCTGAATTGCATCTACATTTAGAGGTTACAATTGAGAATCTTAACTTAATTTTTTTTTTTTCTCAATTTATGGCCTTTCCATATGCTTGAGATAGAGTAGACTGAAAAGTTAATAGTGTGCTCTTACGTGTTTAGTACTTGCAATTGACAATAATAAATTTCTAAATTTGGTCACCGGTCAATCAATATGGCCGCAATTAGGCTGACCAATTAATTGTCTGATGCTTTGTTCTGTCTCTTGTGATTGGCTAGTTCCTAGTTGCCTATCTTGAGATCATAGTTTGGGTTCAAATGGTAAAGAAATTATACTAGACTGAGGGTTGGCCTAAGACTGCTTGGTCTGGTGGCACTGGGGAGTTTGGGCGGGATGGGGTTTGGGGGGAGGTTGTGGATTCGATCCTGTGTTGTATCCAAAAAAGAAAGTATACTAGACCGAGGTTTGCATTTTGATTTTCTTTTGAATCAAGGCCTAGACACATAAGTCATCAATAACTTTTAATGTTCTCTTGCTGCTATTTATGGCAAGAAACAAGCCATTTATGACATCTGTTGTTTGCCTTTGTGCAGACTAGCATCTACACCAGCTATGTTTAATAGCACAATAACAGAAGATGATACTTTTTTATGTCCGGTTGACGGGTCCATAATGATAACAGGTGGTTTATTTGTTCTGTTAAATTTATGATATTAATTCATCTTACACTGCTGAAAAAGTGTAATTATAGTCTCAAGATGTATAACTAATTTATGATATTATTTTTATTTATTTATTTATTTATTTTTTGGATGCTGACAGCTAGTCATCTACCTTACAACCGGAATGGATTCAAATTTTTCACAAATTCTGGAGGCCTTGGAAAAGCGGACATAAAAGATATCTTGGAACGTGCTGCTGATATATATAGAAATTTTACAGCCGAAGGGCTGACTATTTCCAAGGAAAAAGCTTCTGCATCAGTAAAGAGAGTTGATTACATGACTCTATATACAGCTGATCTCGTAAAGGCAGTTCGGAAAGCTGCAGGAAATATAGGTATCTCTGAAATGTTTCATCAAAGTGGAGATGTATTTAGAGATCAAAATATCTTTTACCTTCTTGAGAAGGGCCAAAATTTGAGCAGCTCGGAATTTTATTCTTGTCCCACTACCCCTATATTATGATGGTTTTTATTTCTAATCAACTGGGGTTACTGGCTTTTCCTGGAAATGGAAAATTTAATTGCTTGCGTTTGGGGTGAGATGTTTTTATTTGCTAATTTTTTGTTTTGTTTTGTTTTGTTGTGTCGAATCTCAGAGAAGCCATTGGAGGGATTCCACATTGTTGTTGATGCAGGGAATGGTGCAGGAGGGTTTTTTGCAGTAAGTTTCATTTTCAAGCTTATATGGAGTTTAATTTCTCATCACTGTAACTTGCAAGGTTCTATTTGATGATAATTAACATTACTTTTTTATGGGATTCCAACCAAACTGATGAGAACAGTTTTACCACGTTTCTTTTACTCCAAGCTTCTGAAGGTTGGATGTGCAGGTTTTCTCCATTGTGCATGCAACTTTCTAATTGATATATACAATATATTTTTTTGTTTAGCTCATTGATCATTCTAGAGACTTTATGCTTTCGATGATGTAAATTAATTCTTATTTATTTGGGGTGTGCCATGTGCATTTGATTGACGCATTAAAACATGTATCTTTACCAGGCTAAGGTGCTTGAGCCTCTGGGGGCAGTTACATCTGGTAGTCAGTTTTTGGAGCCGGATGGTAATATTTAAATCTCAGGCTTTCCTTTTTCTCCCTTGGTTTGGATTGTTCTTCAGCAAAAGTCTGTTTTCCCATCAGGTATGTTCCCGAATCATATTCCAAACCCAGAGGACAAGACGGCAATGAAAGCTATTACTAAGGCAGTCCTTGATAACAAGGCTGATTTGGGGATCATCTTTGATACAGATGTTGACAGGTAATTCTTCTTTCCAACTCGCATAATTTTCTTGGCACCACTATAGGATAATTTTTAATCAAGCATTTCTTTTAGATCTGCTGCCGTGGATTCCACTAGTCGTGAATTCAATAGAAATCGTCTGATTGCCCTGATGTCTGCCATTGTTCTTGAGGAAGTAAGGTTTTTCTCTTCAGCTCCTTTTAAGGGTATTGTACTCTTGTTTCATGAATCTAAACTGTCTTTTTCTTTTTGGTGTTCCCCCAGCATCCAGGAACAACTATTGTTACAGACAGTGTGACTTCATACGGCCTGACCACGTTTATTGAGAAGAAACTCGGTACAACGTAATTTGAACTGGAGTAACATTTTTCTTTGTATTTTTGAATGTACTATAATATTCTATTCCTTCTAGGGGGGAAGCATCATCGCTTCAAAAGAGGCTACAAAAATGTCATTGATGAAGCGATTCATTTGGTAGGACACATCTCTATCCGCCCGATTTCTACTGTTTAGGATATATTGTCACAAGATATTTTTATCATATTAGGAGTTTGAATGCATGAATTATAAAATGGATCCAATAACTGGAATTTAGAATGGTAGTTGAGAAGTGATTCATTATTAGTTCAGAGTGCCAAATTTTCAACTGGGGCAATTTTTATTTTGTACCATTTGACTTATTAACTGAAGTTTATTGAATGTCTGACAGAACTCCGTTGGTGAGGAATCACATCTGGCTATTGAGACTAGTGGTCATGGAGCCCTCAAGGAGAATCATTGGCTTGATGATGGGGCATACCTCATGGTAGGCTTTTGATAGAACATTGCTGCATCTTGCACAATTGATTGGCAATCGAACCTTGAACTTGGATTCAGACGAGAACATATATTTTTGATTTTCGTATGATATTGTTTAGACTGTCTTGGTTTACTTGAGAGTATTTTCGTATGTTCTTTGCAGGTCAAAATCTTGAATAAACTTGCTTCAACCAGGGCTTCAGGACAGGGTCATGGCAGCAAAGTTTTGACTGATCTTGTAGATGGTCTGGAGGAACCAGCTGTTGCTGTGGAATTGAGATTAAAGATCGATCAAAATAATCCGGATCTTAAAGGAGGGTATGTTACTGCTAATGTATTAGTTTCGTTTTATAAACTTGGTTCTTGTGTTTTGCTGTGAACTAATAGATTAGTGCTCCCAGATCATTCCGAGAGTACGGAGAAGCAGTGTTGAAACTGTTGGAGAACTCTATTGATTCTGATCCAAAGCTTCAAAAAGCCCCCGTGAATTATGAAGGCGTAAGTTCAACCTGGATTAGTCCTGCAGTCTTTCAAGCCATCTTGTTTAAGGATATGTCCTGGAAGCAATTTGTCACTGCAATAATTAGTTACACCTATTTCTTGGTCAACTCAATAGGATTTCTTTTGAGGTTGTTATACTTTATTAACTTGCCTCGTTCATTTTTTAAATTGCTTTCACTAACAGGTTCGAGTTTCCGGATTTGGTGGTTGGTTCCTTCTTAGACTGTCGCTTCATGATCCTGTGCTTCCCCTTAACATCGAGGTAAAGATTCCTTTCTGGTCGTCTGCTTAGGCTGTAGCTGTAGTAATGTTTGGCTAATGCAATTTCGATACTTTAGGCACCAAGCCATGATGATGCTGTGAAGCTCGGATTCGTTGTGCTTGCTGCTGCCAAGGAGTTTGCGGCTTTGGATACATCTGCTCTGGACAAATTCGTCCAAGGATCATAACCCGTCCTCTGACAAATCAGCAAATCCTCATCTTCCTTGGCATCTTTCTGTTGCAACTTCTTCCGCTTCTGATGGTTCTGCGGTTTTAGCTGTAAAAGTTGTGTCTTTGCAAATACCTGTCTACCAAAATCACTAAAGGGTCATCGCACTAGTTTGAGTTCACACCCTTAGGATTATAGAGTAAGTGAAATCATCAGATTTCTGATGGCATCTTCTACTTTGAGAACGTTATCATATTGGCTGCAGCAATAAATGACAAATTTTGTTTGGTTTGCCAATGTAAGCTTCTTGTCATCAATTTAATCTGGATATTGCTCTCCCGTACAGTTGTCTTGGTAACCAAAGACATCAGAGACAATGTATCCTTGACAAATAGAAACCCTCAGAAAATTCTTTGGCTGGTTAGTGAAGAAAATTCACCGTTAAGAGTGCTATTTTAAACCGTCAGATCTTTATAAAAAATATGCATTACCGGTAAGGATACCAAAGAAAGCTGTGGTATATCTTACTATATAGAGCCTTAGGTAATGAGAGTGAAAAGCTGCCATAGATCGATAATAATGCCCTTTCCCCTCTTACCCGTTTCGGATTGTTTACTTGCTTGCAACAGGAATTGTGGACATGTTCACAACTAATACATTGGGGCTTTCCTTTAAAGAAAAAATAGTACACCGGGAGCAATGTTTATTTGGCATCAAGAGATCAATAATAAAATGTAAACTTGGCATGACACAGAGATGGACTAAATAATCATGGCAAACAACCTTACAAGCAAGGATGTCCAGCCCCACTAGCTAAATTTAGCTTAGCGCAATTATAAAATTGGTGTCTATTAAAGAAACGACCAAGTTGTTATGAAGACTGGCCACTAGACTTGTGGCAAGCCCCTTTTTGCATACATATATACATATGCTAATCTTAAATACCCCCCCCCTCTCTCTTTTTTTTCTTCTTTTTTCTTTTTTGAGTTTTTTTCCCTAGTTTTTCATATGAACATGCTCCTGAAGATCCAAGTTTTTAGCAGTGGTAGGAGTTTTAAGAAGTTTCATCATGAAATTGAACTTAACATCCGGAGAAGTTCTTGGTTGGGGCCAATTTGCTCCTTCTGGCACCTTGATACATTTGAAGCCCCGACCCTTATACAGCTTTGTGGCTGCAGGATTCTTCAGATCGCAGTGCAAAGCAATGGCACGGCAGCCCCAGCTCCGGGCTTGAGCTTCTGCCTTTGCTACGAGCCTTTTAGCTATTCCTTTCCGTCGAAATTTTTCCCGAACAGCAACATTTGAAATGTATGCAATTCCGGTCCTGCAATGAATGCATGCATTTTAAGTGGGACAGTACAACTTTTTTTTTTTTGGGTAGAAGGAAGGGAGAAAAAACTAGTTGAACCATACGTTTTGGTGCATTTGACATGGCATACATTGTGTGCGAGAGCGAATTTATAAAAGATTTATTGTGAGTTTATAACTAGTAAGAGCCAGAGAGCTAATTGCAGAAACGTAAAAGCACCTTGCGCATAAGTCCTAACAGAGAAAAAAAAATACATTTAATGAAATGTTAACGGCCTCTTGAAAAAAGGGAATTGGAAGTTCAGGACAGGTTCCTTATGAGATTGTATAAAAGTACTCACGTCCATAATTCTGTTGCAATTCGAAACTCAGATAGCAGAAAGAATTTAATAACCCCCCAAGGAACATTAACTAAAACCAGATTTGATGGACTCACCTTCTTTGCCTGAGGGGTCCTTTTCTTGGGAGAAAATCCGCCACGGTATCAACTGTCAAAATTCCAGCCACATACCCCCTATTGAGACTGATTTTAACGTTAAAACCACCGATCCTCAAATCTTCTGTTCCAAGGAGGAAAGTTTCATCCATCGAGCTACCAATCACCGCAACCAAGCAAGTTCTCCTGCAACCATTAGGTAGAGAAAATCCGGCTAGCATCCCCATGAGCCTGTCGATCCTCAGCATGAAATCTAAAGGGAAAGAATATTCGGGGAAGAAGGAGCGACAATGCGTCTCAGCCACTTCCCAGCAGTCCTCTAACCTGGCCTCCCGGACAACAATCTCGGGAGACACGGTTGGAAACAAGTCAACCACTTGACTAGCTCCGCAAATTCCTACACCCACAAACCAGAATTTTATCACCAAATGGAACATCAAAACTGAAAATTCCAAACACACTATGATTTTCTTGTCTCTCCAATTATTCTTCCGTTCTCGTGTTATCTGAAATAATTCTGTGTTTAATTGCAAAACCAAAAAGGAAAAGCAACCCAAGCTCTATTAATTTCGCTAGAACATAAAGAAGAGCCAAAACATATGCAAAACAAACGAAGTTGCTATTAAACGGAATATAATAAAAGAGCACTAAAATCTCCAATATTAAGCAAAAATGAAGCTACTAAGGCCTCGTTCATTTTGCCGATTCGAATTTAGAATTCGAGTTTTGCTACAGTAAAAAGCTCTCAGAAACAGTCACATCTAATTTTTTTACTACAGTAAAAAGCTCTCACACAAAATCACATCTCAACTCGAATTACAAACTCGAATCAGCGAAGTGAACGGGCCCTAAATAAACCTTGACGAATTCAAATTTCAACTTAAGACCATCATCAAAGACATGGATTTCCCTACTAATGCTGATAGAACAACAATTGAATCAAATAGCTTAAACGAAAATGAGTAAAAACAGCCCAAAATCTGAAATTGAATCCATAATCGGAGAAAACAGCAAAACGATGGAGAATCGCGAAAGGTACCTGATTTAGAGAGAGAAAGAAGAGAGAAGTCATCAGAGGAGTGAGGAACCCTAGATGAAGAAGCAAAAGGGATTGGTTTCTTGAGATTGAGAGAAGAGGGAAAGGAGGTCTTGGCGGAGCAGTTAATGGCGGTTGGGGAAGCCAATATTCCCATCGCCATCGTCCCGATTTCTTGGAGGATTTTCTCTCTCCTCTCCTCTGCTCTCTCTCTCTGACTTCTCGAGAGAATGAGAATCCAACAGCATTCTTCTTTTTTTCTTTTCTTTGTTTTTTCAATTTTTTTTTTTTTTTTTTTTTCAAGAGAGTTTTGTTTTGTATTGTAGTTGAGAGAGATGACAAAGGTGCTGTGATTTTTTTAGTTACAGATTCACTTTGAACCTTACATTCCCCGACAGGAACTGTTGTATTTGGGATTTTAAGTGCGTTTAGAATTTATTTTAAAATAATTTTATTTTTTTATAAAAATAAAAATAAAAATATTTTTAATTTTAAATATAAATTATTTTTAAGAATGCGTTTGGTAATTTTATTAAGAGATTATTTTCAATATAAAAAAATCTATTAATGTCTCTCTGTGCTCGAGAGAGAAGAAAACGGAAACAAAAAATAAAAAAACGACTAAAAGTTGTTTTTCATTTCTCTCTCATTTTATACTAAACCAAAAAAATCGTTTTCATTTCTATTTTTTATCTTTAATTGTGTTAAACGTCATTTCTCTCATATTTTCATTTTTTCTTTCTCAAAAAGTGTAAAAAATAAAAATAAAATCAACTTCAAACACAACCTTTATTTTGATTCGTCCTTATATTTTAGGGAGTAAAAAAGTAAAACCACAGTTTTATTGGGGTTAGCTTAAAGTACTCAAGAGTGTTAAATACAGAGTCTACAGACATAGTAGAGATTCTTTTTCATATGCTATTTCACTCTATCAAACAAACTAAACTTAATAATAATAAAGATTCTTTAGTATGTATGGTATATTGGTAAGTTAGGTTTTTCTAATTGTTAGATATGATCTGTATATCTTTTGATTTTTACGTAATTTTATGTAGATCTGACAAATAAAAAACCTGACCTATTGATATAGTAGCGTACTAAAAAGGTCTCAACAAACTATTTCTTTTAAGTTTATTTACAAGAGTGTAATTCATTTCTTTTGCTGTAAGTAATTTATATTTTTGAACGGTAAAAAGTTTTTATGAATAAAATCTCGTTCAATTTTAGTATAATTTGATTTTGATATTATTTGTGATTTAAAAATACATATTATGCAGATACCAAAAAAAGAACTATATATTACTATATATTATTTCGAGAAAATTATATATATCAGTGGAATTATTGAAAAAATTAGAAAAATTTGCTTTAATACTTAATATTTCTTCTTGATATTTTTGAAAGCCGAAAGGTTAATTTCAGACACTGAAAAGCGAAAAACTATCGATTCAGAACCGACAAAAAACCCTAGTAAAGATAATCTACTACACACATATCTTATATTTCAAGCGAGTGACGTTTTCATGAATCAAATAAAGATGTTGGTCGGGCTATTCGTCAGAGAAATTTCTGAACATAACATGGATTGTTGCAAATGTAATGTTGTAGCGCATCACACGGCGAAGGCAGTAGTCATTGTGTGTAAAAGAAAGGGAAAATCAATCAGAGAGAACTTGTGAAGCGACTTCTTCAGCTAGTAATACGGAAATTTTCTGTGGTAGATTACTTGAAAATATTCTATCGGTGAGACACAATTACGATCCATCAGATCAATGAAATTATTAACAGTAAGACGAGCCAATAAAACTTGATAAAAATCCGATAGTTAAAAACTGTGTCCAATCAATAAGGTATTTGTTTTAAACCCTGTCACAAATTTATCTCCTTGAAAATTTCTCAGACACAGAAAGGGATGGAGTAAATTTGTGAGAGAGGACAAAGAATAATCAGTTGGGAAGGAGAAAATGGGCTTTGAAAGTGCAGTATGGAATTATCTGCATATGTGTGATCCGAAAATAGATCAATTATTTATTTATTTATTTTTGGACAAGATGTAATTATCGTGGTATATATGAAACTCAAATACATTTTTCACTCCTCACCGAAAAAAAAATGGGAAAAAAAATAATTTCATTCCTTTGGTATGAAATTTCGCTAAAAGTTAACTGGCAGGTTACTTAAGAATGCCAACGTGTGAGGAGACGTAGACTTGCCGAACTGCGAACACCATGCAGGAAGCTTGGAAAGAACTCTTTCAACTTTTGGTGTAACTATGTTCAAATCAGTTCTGAGCTTTAGAAGGAGGCGGTCCTGTCCGTTCCCGTGGATGGTGTCCGTTGACCGTGAAGAATTCTTGCTCCAGAAAAGTGTGAGATCAAACTTTGTTGGCGCATTCTTGCCCCCGGAAAACTGAATAATGTGCCATCCCTCGACACCGCTCTTGTTGCCAACCGGAACTAATTCCTCCGAGTTTCCTGCATCTGCGAGGATAATGATGGATAAGTCTATTAGTCATACGAGCCTTTTATAAGACGATGATTCTAGATGTGGACAGATATAATTTATGTCAATTGTATCTCAAATTGTTAACCGAGAGCATCTCCAATGTAGTTGTCCTTTTCTAAAACATTCCAAAATTACGAATCTACTTTTAAAAATTCTAAAACTTAATAATTATGACAGAAAGTACATATAAACATTTCAAATAAAATTATGCATTAGAGCACAAAATAAAATAGGATATTCAATATGCCATTTTTACACCTTTAAGTGTCAAATATGGCATTGGCATTGGAGTGGGTCTGACTCATGGAACTGTTATGACCTTGTCTATGCAAAGTTCACTGGAAATTCTGAACAAGGTCAAAACTTGACCTTCATGGCAAAGGCACAATATCCTCTACCAAGACTCGTAGAGATGCGCATACATACGTACACACAATCTTCTTATAACTTGCATTAAAGAAGTAATTTGGATAATATTACACAGATAAAATGCAACTTCTACCATTTTCAAATTATGCCAACAAAAAGGGCAAAAAAAAAAAAAAAAAAAAAAAAAAAAAAAAAAAAAAAAAAAAAAAAAAAAAAAAGAAAAAAAAAAAAACGGACAAACAGAAGAAGAAGGTATCATATAAGTTTGACATACCTTTCAATGCAAAGTCTTCTATTTCCTCAAAGTTGATCGCGAGAGACCAGCGTGTTGAGCTTTTTGTATCAATGGAAACTTGTGTGATTCTTTTATGCTGATTAGTATCACTGTCAACATTCAACAAAGGCACATCCGATTTGCTCCATCCATCTTCATTTTCATTGTAAGCCCAACAACCGTATTTGACCGAAAAAGTAACGAAATCAACAACTTTATCTCTGCCACATATGAAACCTTCGTTAACCTGTTCAACTTCTTTTGTCAACTTTCCAGGAGTTGTAGAAAATATAGATACAAAAGAGCTAGGATCTTCCTTTCCTGTCGAATCCACAACTTGTACAACCTGAACAACATACGAAAGTCAGTTCTCCACAGAAGTAATACCGTTAAAAATGACATGCGTTTAAATGTAAAAGAGAGAGAATCTACAGTCTATTGGCACAGTTTAGAAATTCAACTTCAATTTGCCTTTGGCGTCACTGTTAATAAAGAAAGTTTATAGCTTAAAATACAAAGCAAAAACTAGTACAAATTACAATTTATAAAACTTGTTTATGGAAACTTACATTAACAGCTCTGGCAATGTCGTTGGTAAATGGTGGCACTATGCCCGATGCAACCACTGCGATTGAGAGACCGAACACCAAGCATGCTGAGAGGATAATCAATCTCTTTACACCTAGAGATCAATTTTCACCATATGGTTCAGCCGCAAAGGAAAATATGACAAAGTTAAGAGGGAAAAACGAAGTGTTAATCATAAGAAATAAATTAACTTAAACTTTCTCACACTGATAATGCACACAATATTACTTGGGAACTCTAGAAAAGCCTTAAAATCCTAATTAACTGAAGCTGAAAACAAATTTAGCAGAAAATGGCAGTGTAAATTCTAAATCGCGATGAAATCTTATAGCAGGCAGTTTCAGAATGCCAAAATCCATCTTCGTCACAAAGTGAATTAATGAAATAATGAGAATACTAGAAGACAACCAAAAGAAATCAGAATATTTTAACGGTCCATGGTTATGTCTTAATTCTTATTGGGATGATATAGAGCAGTGGTTTAAGAAGCTCATCACAGATGTGGAGCTAAATTTGTTCTAACTTCAATCTGTAATACATTCTCAAACCCAGATTCATTTTAGTTTATTATATATAATGCTGTTGAGGTCCAAATTCCCACCTTGGAATCTGACCTGAACTGAACCCAACGTAAACAATATGGTAGCATGTTATCTTTCCAAAAAGTAAAACATATAACAATAACAAAACCAATCTTAAAAACATGGAAACATAATAAAGCCATTTTGGGCAGCAACTGAAGAAAAGTTGAACATATGAGAAACAATGAAACCAATCTTAAAAACGTGGAAACAAAAGAAAGCCATTTTGCACAGAAACCAAAGAAAATGTATGTGAGGAACAAAACCTGAAAGATGAACGTATGAAAGGAGATAAACCAGAGTTAGGCACACGACAACTGCAACGAAAATAGCAACTATAACATTCCCAAGCCACTCAGGAGTGCTACCAGGGTTCCTGCAAGCAAATACAAGTAAACTATTATTTAACTATAACAAAACATTGATTTGATTCTTATATTCGCAATAAAACTACATTATAATTTACCTGTCAAAGCGAACCCAAGTTGCAATCATTGTGCCCACCAACCGGATAAAAGTTCCAGATGATATTAATATCGGCGGAGCCAGGCCAATCAGGAGGGTTGCAAGTTTCAGAGGCTTTGGCAATCGAGCTGGGCTTAGAGTAGCTTCAAGCAGGCCGTCTGGATTCCACAGCATAATAAATCCAAAAATGTTGGTGAGATGCAAATATGAGATATGTTTAAATCAAAGACGAGCAAGATAAGATAGTTGTAAACCCATACATACATGCAAATGTTGGTGGAACCAGCCAAACAAGAGCCAGATATGATGAACCGACTTTATAATAATTTCCAAGAATGAGAAGAAAGAGCCACTGAACAGATCCAGCTTTATAGAGCCATCTTTCGGCCTCTAACTTGACTGAATAAGCTTGAATAATAGGAGAGAGCTGCTTTCTCTTGGAATATACTTTTGATAAATATGCTCTCAGAATGAGATAACCTATATATTGGCCGGTTAACGCGCCAACAAGAGATGGTGCGGCAAACAACCCAAATACTAGCCACGGGCTTGCGACATAAGGTGTTGGAAATGAAGATACAAGGGGCAGGGTGAAGGCCAAAAAAACAGCTAAACCTATAGCGAAAATCCACATAAGGATAATACTTAAACACGACAAAGTGAATGAAACTGCAGCTGAATAACCACCAATAAGTAACGACGTTGCCCAAATCAGAAGTGATTGCATTATCACTGAATTATAAAGCAAATTTGCAAAGCGTTGTCGGAATACGATCATATATGTCCCCTGATATTGCAATAAGTGTTAGAACCACGTTGTGAACTTGAAATATGAAGATAGATGTATACTTTTACCACAGCCACCTCGGTTCCAAAAGAGGCAAAGGAAGGTAGAAGGTGAAAGAGAGATGAGATCAAGTCCTAAAACAAGAAGCATAAAGATGTTGCAGTTGTAAATATACCAAAATGTCAAAATATATCGCACTGCTGTGGCCAGTGTTTTCCTCTTCTTCCACTGCACTGGATTTTGGAAGATGAGAAGATCTAGCAGTCTGAAGCAGAAAAGCAAGCATATTTTCTCCAAGGTGTTGAAGAGATCCTGGTTTCAGGAGTTCAAATTTGTCATTCTGCATGATTTAAAAAAAAAAAAAAAGAAGAAAAAATAATTAACATATTTAAACCAATATGAGCTTCAAACAACCCCAATAAAATTGCATATATGTATGCTAGGCACTTTGTTTACTGATACGTGGAACAAGAGTGCAAATCAAATAGTTTCTCAACTTCCAATGCTTATATTAAAATTCAATAATGGCATGCCACGTAAATAATTTAGTGCTATCGCCATCATTCATGTGATCAGTATCCTGATTGCCTAGAAAAACTAGGTATCTTAGAGCCAAGATAACTTGCAAAGCTAGCACATCCAGAGACCACTTCCTATCTCATCATAGTTCCGTCACCTACCAATTTATCTCATCCACTCCATCCACTTACAAAGACAAAGTTCATCACTCTTAACATACAAAGAAGCAGCAAAATGTTGTCATTTCTTCATATTAACCCCCATTAAACATCTTTTCCAACGTCACTCCACTAAAAGAACTAAACTGAGAATTTGCATGAGCAGGAATAAAAAAAAGGAGGAAAAAAGTACATATTTCAGATATTAAGGGAGCATAAGAAAACCTTAGTGTGATAGACTGCAGTATTATCCGTGTAAGCAAAGTCAAGTCCTGAAAGGCCAGCAACCTCTTTGTATACTTGGAAATCTGTAGCAGATTTTACAGCCCCAGAAGAAAATAGATCCTGTTACACCAAAATTACTCAGACATAAGAATTTTTCCACAACAGCTATGCATTGGCCGTTAAAAATATAGGAGAAGAATTATCAAAAAGAAAATAGCATGAAACCTGAGCTATAATCTGGCCAGAGGGATATTTTGCTACCATCGCAAAGTTCTCAATAGCCCACGGATTAGGACCAGCCTATCACACGAAAAAGAACAAATAAACAAATAACAAAAAAAGAATTTAATGTTAAAACATCCTGGGGTAAATAAAAGAACTTAAGAGATGTAGATACATAACCAAAGAGATATCTTATAAATATAGTTTATATTAAAAAAAAAAAAATCATCAGACAAAGCCAGGGACTGATCTACTAGGGAAATGCACAAGTTATGCTGCCGAGGGAAAAAAAAAAAGAGCTTTACATTAACGGTCGACATTTCAGTGCCATTGTATCTAAAAGTTATAGGAATAAACAAAACTGACACCGTACAGTACCATATAATGTCCTACACAGTACATGACAACCGCAGAGTCACATAGCATTGGATCCCCAGAGAAAAAAAAAATGAAATTCTACAAAACCTGAAATATGCTAGATTTTCCTCCAATACCCATCGCCTCCAAATCAATCGCCATGCGAATAGTTTTACTCCAGGGATGCTGCGGGAAAAAGTTCAAAAGGGTAAGAGACGATTTAAGACACTTGTACATATAGAGATAGAACTTACAACTGAAAGATATCACAAGCATTTTATTTTCATTTAATGTCCGTTGTTCATACATTAAGAGAGAGCTCATGATTTTTCATATGAGCCTAACCCTGTACACTAAGTGCTAGCAATTGCATATTCTCAAAATGATTGTACACCTCGTCCAAGAAACATAAATAGGCGAATCACGTCTCTTTTCAGGCTATTATATATTATGATCCTATGACTTCCTTCTTTTCAGTCAACTTTCTAGCTGAGCTATTATCACTACTTGAATCATCATTTCACAAACTATTATCATTGTTTTGATGTCTAGTTTCACATCTAAAGCAGCTGCTGAGTGCATAAAAAATAATAGAACTCAATACACCGCTATGCAGTCCATAGAAAAACACTTTCACGGGTTTGTCTGTATTGCAGAATACTAGATAGGCAATCAAAAATTCTTATTCTGAGTCCATTCAATATCGTAGCTTATAGCATAGAAAAATAGTACAATCTTACAGTATGAAACATTTTTTTAGGGGAAAAAAAAAA